CTTTTTTGGTCTTAGAAAATTGTTTTTTTTTTCTAGTGGATCACAAACATTTTTATTAGTTCTTGTTCATTGTGCACAATTTCGTGGGGGAATGTAATGTGGTGACGATCGATTTGTTAGAAAAAAAATAGAATATTATGCATCTTTTGCTGTGGATTTATTGGAAAAAACCGCCGTGTTCCTCTGATTTCTTATAAAATATATCTGGTTTATCAGAATAGAAGTTAAGGACAACAGTTCTTTCACCGTCATTCTTGATTCATCAACCTCCAACAACTCTTGAAGATGTATCAATCCTCACATATCTGAAGCTGTAACACGTTGACGTCTGAATAAAACGAAAATAGTGAAATACAACATTGTCATTGTAGTATCCAAGCTATATCTGACGTCATGAACAAAAAACAAACTTATTTTACGCCTTCTATTTAACAACTTGGACTTCAAATATGCATGAAGTACTGTCATTCCATATAACACTAGTAGCATTTACGTCTCACAACATAAGTAACACCACATCATGTTTTATGGCTTTATACCATCAAAACAGTATATATAGATCATAGCAGCTGCATTTCATATGCAACATCACTGTTGACCATAAATTCAAGTATTGTCTTAATTTCCTCGAAGTTTTGACTCAACTACATATCATCTCATACAATCAAGAATTTTCTATAACTTGTAATAGTTCGATGTTTTTTCTCTTCATATAATTGAATGATAAGTTCGAAGCAAAATGCTTCTATGAATAAACAAAATAATACACAACTTTATTCAATTAAGAACGTTTACATATAATAGTCATTAGTTTACATGTAAATGTATCTCTTTTTAGTCCCACATCGGCAAGAGAATAGAAAGAAATAGAGGGCAAGCTGAATAAAAAGGGAACGAGGCTATTGTTTTAAGTACTTACCTGGATGGGGTCAATGTGTGGTCAAGATGGCTCATGGCCTAGAGTAGTGACCTTCATTGCACTTTGAAGGGGTGCTGCTTTAAGGTCGGCCCAAGTGGTCGAACCTACATCATAATTTGTGACAGTGGGGGCCTGCGTTCGCGCGGCCCCTGCCCAACATTAGTTCGAAATTTTTGTAGTTTTTTAATTGTTTGTAATGTGTCGATACTGATAAAATGTCTTTATGTCTTTCTTTTCAATTAAAATTTTCATTATTATTATTAAATTATCTTTTCAAGAAAACGTTCATTCCCACTATGCCATTCATCTTCCATATTGAGTATTGACAACATTGGATCCGAGACAGCATCTAAAAAACTAGGATATGAATGATAACGTGAATTAGGGCGCCATATTAGTTCGAATCGAATCGATGTACTTGACTCCTTGTTAATCTCTACATCATCACATCAAATGACTTGAATCTTGATTCTCAACATGAGAAGATATTTTTTATTTTTATACTGATATTTTTGTTTCTGATTATCACTCTCGAATCGTGAATCTCGTCTTCCCCTCCTGCAATCTCTTCTTCCTTATATCTGCTTCTCACTTTGGAATTCGATGGACGTAATTTTTTTTTTCACTCTTGACCCCAGAAGACTTGATTTTTTTTTGTGTTATTTTTTGTTTATCGTTCCCGATTCTGATTATTCGATCATAGGCTCAAAGATTATAAGTTCTAATTGATTATTGTTTTGTATATTAGATTTCTGAAGTCGACTTGAACGTAACGCTCTAAGTTTCGGATTTAAGATGCTTTACCCAACCATCATGTTTGGAAATTTTAAAGTTTTTCATTTGGTTTTGTAGTCGATAATTTATGTCTTTTTCTTCAATGATATTTGTTCATGTCATGAATATGTCTTTGTTCCATCGTTAAATAGTTGTATTGATATGTTTTCATGGTGATTTATTTATATTTTATTGCTTACTAATATATGTATATATATATATATGTGTGTGTATGTCGATAAATTCTAAGTTTCTATTGGACCGATATATTTTTTATATATTTCATTGAGTTTGCACATCTTGTTTTGCATAACACAATTTCTAATTGGTTCTTACCTGTTTCCCCGTAACGCCTATTATTTCATACCACGTACACCCAAAATTTTTATTTATCATTTAAAAGTTTACAATATGGAATACAAGTAGTTATCATAATGATCGTACTGACCTTTAGTATAAGATCGAATCGGGTGTCAATAATATATCTGCAAAACAAATCATCATAAAAAATAAAGCTTCGCGGCTTAGTTAATAATAACTACTAAAACATAATTAGATAAATTAAATAAATCCTATAATAACTCATTTTTCTCAACAACCTTTAATTTATATCAACGAGTGGTGTTATCATAATTAACCTCTCAGTAATAATTGGACGGGTTTGGAGCAAATCGACCTTGATTCAAACCCTTTTAACAAATTCCAAAACCCGATTCAAAATCGCTCCATAACCCACAGAGTTTTGAATAATCAAACTCATACCCTTATCCACCGAATCAACAGATATCCAAACCCGCCTCGTAACCTGTATGTTTTTTGAATAATCAAACACATTTTACTTAAATCATAAAATCACATTTGTTAAATAAAACAAATGATGTTTTAGAAAACACATTATGTACTCGAAGACTTTCGATTGGAATTAAAATCATTATTGTAGTTACTTCCAATTGGTTTTTGACCCTCGATTGCATTGATAGAGAATAACAATTAGAAACTTTATTCCAGTTGATAAATGAATTTATTGATTTATAAATGAAATTTGTGTTTACATGTTGAAATATAAATGAAATGACATCAGGATTCTTGGGAGAAGACTCAAAGTCTTGAAGTTGAGTCCCCGAGTCCTATGTATAAATAGTTTAGTCTTTGGCTTTTTCTGTTTGGACTTTCGATTGGAATTTAAAGTAAAATTTAGGCAGTATAAAATATAAATGTATAATTCTAAAATTTATATGGGGCGGGTTATAAATGGAGCGGGTCGGTGATGATCCATACCTGACCCTTTTAATAAAATGGTTAACGGGTACGGGTCGTTAGCGGGTAAACGGATCAAAAACTACGCTCCAAACCCGTATAATTGTTAAGGGTTTGGATCGGATCATGGTCAAAACCCGCTCCATTGTCAGGCCTAGTAATAATCTATCACATTCATAATTTATCTCTAAATCAATAACCTATCTCTTAGTCAAATAATCTCTCTCTCAATGGTGATCACTTTCTAGATTTAGTATCTCTCTCTCTCTCTCTCTCTCTCTCTCTATCTCCCTCTCTCTATCAATATAAATCTTTCATTTATAATCAAACTATCAATTAAGTTTTATTTCTCAATCAATTATCTAATCTTTATTAATGATCTATCTCTCAATCATAATGTATATATTTCTCAATATTTATAAATCTCTCTATAATTAATTTCTCTTTAACAATTAATCATATGAATCATGTAATGTATAACACATATAACACATCAATGGATGTTAGAGTAGTGTTACTCACCTAGTTAGTCAGCGGACTAATACTAGTTCTAATTTCAATCATTCGCTGCCTATCAACTCGCCATATGGTAGCACCTAATCATCAAATAACAAGTTTCTCAAAACATGTAACAATTCATTACTAGCTATCCTTCGGGGCCTATTGTCACAAAACTAATCAAATCTCATAATTTAATCACAAAATGCTTAACCCGTAAGCCATCAGGTAAATATCATAATAACTATTTCTCCAATATCAGGGTTTATAACGCTTACAGTCTCGACTGAATCTTTAATAGTAAGATTTACTCACTGGTCTTACTAACGAGTTTGTAACAACACCATATCACGAATACCCGTAACACATACTCAGGTCAAATATATCTTAATAAATATAAATATCGAGATCATAAATTAACAGTGTAAAAGATACCCTAACGCATCTCGTACTTGACCCCAAATCACCCGTACAATGGTATAACATCTTTGGTATAATCTCCCAAGCAGCATCTCCGACCACGTGTGCCAAAACCCTCCAATTGCCTTCAAAATCACTCATATTTATACTATGGAAGACTTCACGTCGTGATAATGTATGTTTCATGCCATGACACCCAAAAGAATTCGATTCTGCCACGTGTCACACTCTCTCACCGCGTCGTCGTGAGGAAGCATCCTTTACATTGTGAGGATCATGTTTCATGTCGTGACAATGTATAGTCACATCGTGATGGTCAAGGGTTTGACCATTGACTTGACTTGTGTTGACTTTCTCAATATAGCAACGTACTTTATTCTGAACTTCAAACGGTCATAACTTTCTCATACGAACTCCGTTTCGACGATCTTTATATCCATGAAATCCTATTAACAAGCTCTACAACATTCCTCAAATATCTTTTGCTAAATAACATTTCTCAATTTAAAGTAACTCCGTGCTCTATTTCTCTATATCTGGTCATGAAAGACATGTATTACAGGACCGACCTTGAATCCAAACAATTCATTACATTTTTAGCACGTTAACATGGATTTTTCATTGAAATGCAAAAAAAAAAAAAAAAAAAAAACATTAGGGATATTTTAAAACATAAATGATAAGTTGGTTGTGCTACAATGATGATACACCAAAACAAAATCACCAAAATCAATAAACCATAAATCGATAAAGGCATACGTTCATAATTAAAATCAAACAAAATTTAGCTTTTGTTTTTTATAGGACATATACAAAAAAGGGTTCCCCACCCCCCATTTCAGATCCATGAAATTGCGACGCTTGTGGAAGAGGATTTGCATTTGGCGATGATAGTCATGATACCAAGGAGCTCTTTCAAAATTATGAAATACATCATTCTTCAAGCCATCCCTTGATTGAAACCTCTGAAGGTTAAACTTGAGACATCCTATGAGGTGGCCAAGCTTTACACCAAGCCACCGAAAACAAAACACAAATATCAAATGTTGGTATTTTGTGTAATTTGCAACAAGTGTTGGACCAAAATTGAAATTTCCTAAGTTCTAAGGGACTTGTCTTGTATTTCTTGCTACGAGGTCCTTTGTTCGGTACTTCCTTCCCATTGGCGCCCCCATCCCAAGCCCTAAACACACTGTCCCGAATCAAAACAACAAAACACAACAGATACTATCATACAAATAACTATGGTGGCAGGTGGAAGGATACCAAGGACTATTCTGAGCAATCTCTTGTCACGAGTAACTACAGGGTCTCTATCATCATCAACATCATCATCATCATCATCATCGTCTTCGTTTGGACCTCCTTCTATCCTCATTTCACGAAGGGGCATAGCTTCCAAGCTTTATGTCGCAGGTTTGCGTGTTTTCTTCTTCTGGTAGTTGAAATCTTCATCTTATTTTTGAATCTTCATACCCGATCATGTTCAAAATCAAACTTCTGTTCTTAGATTATTTAGCTCCAAGATAATTGCCTTTAACAATTTCCCTACAGTTTAGTGTAAAGAGCTCATTCGACACTCGTAACGTGTAATTCTTAGGTTCAGATGTTGTATACTTGTATGTATCATTTAAGTAATGAGCATGTGGCATCTCAAATTGGTTTATGAATTAGGGAATATGGTAGTGTAGCCATTAATGGCGGATGATGCTAAGCTCATTGACAGAAAATATTGTGAATCGGATTCTATCTGTTATTGGTTTATGAATTAGGGTTTGGTGAATTTGAGGGCTGATGCATCAAAAAGTTGATTCTTGATCTTATATTTGCATTGCAGGACTCTCATTTTATACCACAGAAAAAGCATTATCAGATGTGTTTTCTCAATTTGGCCAAGTTGTTGAAGGTAACCTTCAACATTTCATCTATTTACACAATTATATAACTTCATTCAACTTAACTATAAAATCTAAAATCTTTACTATTTTCAGCCACTGTTATGATGGATAAAGTTTCCAGCAGATCAAAAGGCTTTGGATTTGTTACTTTTGCATCTGAAATTGAAGCTGAAAAAGCCATTAATGAAATGGACCAAAAGGTTTCAATCCTAAATCACCATATCTTTTAGAAATAGCAAAATACTTTCATTTATTTATTTTTATGTCATCCCACTTTTATTGGGTTTTATGCAGAAAAGTCCTATTTTTTGATAAAGCTCTAATTTTTTTTTGAACAGAAAAGAAAAGTCTCGATTAGTTAATATTTCCCCAAATTAACGAAAAAGTCATTATTTTTATTTTAACTGGAAATGATAGATTATTGTATAAAATTAAATAATCGAGACTTTTCCTTTTAAAAAAAGGACTTTATCAAAAAAAATTCCAAAATAATGGGACTTTTTTACATAAAACCCCACTTTTATTTTATCTAGAGTAAATTACTTATTTGGTCTCCGAGTATATATGATTTATTTTTCAATTTTGGTCCTAAAAAGTTGGATCTTGCAATTTTGGTCCTTACTTCAGGTTTTTGTAATGATAGAGTAAATTATTTCTTTGCCCCCTGAGTATATATGAAAATTTCAATTTTGGTCCTTATTTCAGGTTTTTGTGACGATTTTGGTCCTTGTTCCAAGTAAAATGACTATTTTCTCCTCAATATATCTAGTTTTTGAAATTTTAGTCCAAAAATAGCATTTTACTTGGAACAGAAACCAAAAGCGTTACAAAAACCTTAAAATAAGAACAAAAATTGCAAGATAAAATTTTTTAGGACCAAAATTGAAAAAATCAACTATACTCAAGGACCATAAATGTAATTTACTATTTTATCTATTACAATGCTTTACTTTCAACTTTTTTTCTTATTAAATCATTATACTCAAAAAAATCCACCCAATTAGAACATTGTAATTTGGAAGAATCAACCATTATATAAATCGCTATGTATTTGTATGCCATTGCTATTATTGTGTTGACTTTTCAAAGTATAATTATGTAATTAGAAAAAAAAAATGGAAGTAAATGCTATAAATTAAAATAAACAAAATAATGAAAGTACGTTGCTATTTCTTGTAGCCACTACACGGGCGTGTGATACATGTTGAGCTGGCAAAACCACGAAGGCCGTATAGTAGTGCCCCAATAGCTAGAGGACCCCCCGAACCACCTACAGACGTGCAATAAGCACTTGTACATTTGACTTCCATCTGAGAGTCAAACGTACAAGTAATCACAATAGGTACACCGATGCAAGTAGTAGTTACAACTTACAAAATATTAATTTGTTATTTGGGATAATTATGTGTCAAGTTTGAGGCTTTTCTACATAGTCTTTGTTTTGACTTTTATCTTAATATTAAAATTTTAGGAGTAATTATTGTTTTGTGGATTGTGAATTTAGTTATTGTTTGTTAGTTTTATTGATGTTTTGACTAAACTATATAATAGAAGATTGATACATCTTGTGCATGTAGTTATTGTCATTTAAAAATTGGACGCAACATTTCCCATGATTCATTTTGTAAGTAATGAAAGAAGAAAAACACACTTGTGTGAAGCTTCAAACAATCATAAGTTTTTGTGCGTGTTTGATAAAAGTAGCTGATAGCTGGAAACTTGAAGTTGTCAGTTGGAAGCTGAAAATTGTCGTTTTTATATTTGCGGAAGTGTTGGGTTTTCTTGAACATTTCTTTGTTCTTACTTACTTTACAAGTCATTTTCTTTCATAACCATCACTTGTGGTTTTTGTTTATAATTCTTAACGGATCATTTAAGAAGTTAAAACTAGTGTTTTGAGTTTTGAATGTAGATATGGTTTTGTGTATTTCCTCCTCTTACTATGACCAAACTGTATACTCGTCAAAAAGTCAATGAGCTACTATGCAAGTTCACTGTCCCAAGCTTTTCTCACATCTCATACTGGATAAAAATAAGATGAAATTTGTTTTTATGTATAATACGAATGTGGTGTAACCAAAATATGTTTAATCTTATCATGTGATGAATATTGATTTTTGTCAAACTAAAAATCAAAATTATTTTTTTATTAAGTATAGATTTTTTTATCGTGAGTTATTTAAGTCTTTATTTAAAAAAATAATAATAAGTGTCTAACCAAACCTAAGAATGTGGAAGGTAGTGAATGATATTGTGAAAATTGTACTATGCAATCCCACATCGGCAGATGATAGAAAGATAATGAGAGGAGGAGGTGTATAAAATAAACACGAGGTAATTGGATTACTTACTTACCTGGATGGGGTCAATGGTTGGTCAAGATGGACCATGGCCTAGGTTAGTGACCTCCATTGCACTGAGGAGGGGTGCTAGCCTAAGGTCGGCCCAAGTGGTCGAGCCTACATCATAATTTGTGCCAGTGGGGGCTTGCGTTCGCGCAGCCCCTGACCAATTCATCAGTTCAAGTTTTCATCTAAAGGCCGCTGCAAATTTGTGAGGGTAATTGTTTTTATATGCAGTCTTGTTACATTTTACGTTGAACCTGATTTCATGCATCAAAAAGTTGGTTCTTGAATCTCTTATTTAAATTGAAGAACTGTCCTTGAGTACCACAGAAAAGGCATTAATAGATGTGTTTTCTTAATCATGCTAAAGTAGTTGAAGGAATCTCCAACATTTAATGCATTTTGATAGTCGTATATCTCGAGTAAACTATAAGCTATTATCATTACTACTATCTACAACAAACCTTATGGTTATGATGAATTTTCCTATAAAAAAGGCTTTTGGGTTCCTTATTTATTTGTTACAACTTTGTATTTTTTAACATTTTTTTGTTAAGTCGTTATATTTTAAAAATATGTTCAGTTAGAGGCTTAGAGCATTTAATTTGTTTTCTTATCAATGCATTATACTTAAAAAAAAAATACTCGGTTATAATTCGGATGCCATTGCTAGAGTAGGTTGACTTTTCAGGGTCCAACGCCGTTATACCTTATAAAATATATTTGGTCAAATACTGAATTTTAAATCGTACAAACCTTATTACGGTATTTACAATCAGTTTATGCATTGAATATCATTTGGTCAACGTAGGTATGGATTTTGACTGGATCTCATTCCCTATCCCGTCCAACAACATTCCCAATATGTTGCCCTTTCTTTAGCCTTATAATGATATACCTCTATTAATCTTCTTGGTCATTTATATAGCACCTCCATTCTTCTCCATTGATCGCCTGCGTATTTACCATCCACCACATGCCCAACAAGAAGAAAAAAAACTAATTGCATCAAAAACAAGAAACTCTAACAACAATAGATTGATTATGTGTTTCTCGAAATTAGATATTTCGTTTCCACAGAAACCCACCATCGCCATTGCGTCTTATCATATTGAAGCTGTAGAAAAGAAAAATACGAGTGGTTTTACACATGACCAGGTAACTCTCTCACTATTAATAAACCCTAGCCGCTCTCTGATTTCCAAGGTGAAGACGAGAAAGCAGTTGCTAGTGAATCCTTCATTCTCTCCATCTCTTTCATCTACTATCGTCACCGTTTTCACCCAACTTTATCACTCCAGATACATGTATTGATGCAACACCCGCACCACCATCACCACGTCTGCTCACTTCACCAACCATCACCGTTTTCAACACTGTTACTGACCACCACCTACTTCATCTCCATAAACCACCAATATTTTCATCGATTTAGGTATGCTTTTCATCTTTATTGCATATTTTTGTACTTTGTTTTCCTCCATATCTCGCCTCTTCACTGCTTCAATTACCAAATATCACAATCTCCGTCTCTACTACCTCTGAGACTCACTACCATCGTCACACCACACAATTGAAACACCAGAGACCAGTCGTCGCCTACAAAAACCCTATGCTCACAACCACATCATCTATTCCCTCTCCCCTCAAAGATAAGAAAGTATTTGTTAGTTTTTTTTGCTGGATTTCTTACAATTTAGTTTTTTTTTTTTTTTTTTTTTTCTATATCTGCATTCGCTTTTTTTTGGCAAGTTTATTTGAATTTTGTAGGTTTCTTGTAACATCCTATTTCGGATCGCTTGTGATTTAGGGTTTGTGGGCTGCAACTCGGGCATAAGGAAACCTTGAGGTTGCAACGAGTTACTAGAAGCGTAGGGCTTCTTGCCACCTTTTCCATGGATATGAGGTTTGTCGCACCCCCGAACCAGACGGCGGAAACGTCTGGGGGTTGTTGTGACTCAATTGAATACCATCACAATGAATATACATGAAACATAACATCATACATCACCAAGCATTGGAATATTACAACTGGTAGCGTTTACATTTAGTACATTGTTCCCTAACATTACATGCCCAAAAAGTAGATTGTTCGGTGCTAATTAAACAAGCAACAAAACGTCACTGAGTACACTTATCCCTTCGATTTATCTGTTACCTGAGAATACAAGTATTTTGAAAAACGTCAACATATGAAATGTTTGTGAGTTCATAAATAATGTTTGAAATCCAATGTTTGTATTGTTTTGAAAACCACCAGAAAATCCGATATTTTCCGAAAAGAGTTTCTGAGAAAGTTTGTGAAGATCCATAAGTATGCTTGTTTGTTTCTATAGTTGTAAAAAGTATTCGTTGAACTTGTGTACATTTCGAAACTGTATGTATTGAAAAACCCTAGGAATACCCGATGTTTTCCTAATACTTTGAATTCCATGTAGTTGTTGTATCATCGTGGCATGTGAAGTCATTGATCCCAGGCGACGTCGGATTATTGCGCATTGTGAATTATTATAAACACGCGTTACGCAAACGACCAGTTTACAATTATACAAACGATCCCGTGGGCGTCGTCCGTACTATCCACGTAATCCAACCGCCCTGACTTCTTGTAGTCCCGCATCCGAAGAGAAAGAGGGCACGAAGACCTCGGTAACTCCATTAACCGGTTGGGGATAAAAATGTACGAAGGGTCCTTGACCCGCTCGCATGTGAATGACCGACTTTACTAGCAGTACCAAAGGACCCTTGGGGACCAATAGTAAAAGCCATTGAAAGTCCTTTTACGCTGTGTTGGATCATGTAAGACCCAACAACTCGTAAGGTTGGAGTCTTCGAGCCTAAAGATCAGGTCATTGGGCTAGCTAGGCCCAACAAACAAGATTTTACACTTTGGGGCCCAAACATGGTGCGTCGACGTTTGTGCACTCTCGCGTGTGTATTGAATTACCAAATGTTTTTGTGTATGAGTCGAGTTATCGTCGTGTTAGTAGTTTCGGATTGTTATTGCTTCGAGACCGAATCAATTCGTTTAACAACGATTTTTGGTATTGTTGTGTATTGTATTACGTTGGTAGTCGTAGTGCCAGTGTTTGATCACAACGGATGTATTGAATTAACATTTCAACTTTTCTGTTACAGCCCCTCTTTTTGTTGTGAATTTACTTTTTCAACCCTTTATAAAAAAAATTACCAGTTTGGTCCTTAAACCATTTTTCTTGACGTTTTAACCCCAAAACTTATTGAAATTGATATTTTTCAGCATATTTTTAGTTGAAAACAGTTTGAGTCCCTGAAAATTCAGTTTTCTCGGTTATAACCCCTCTTTTTCGCAGTTTTTACATTTTTGGCCCAAATTGGAAAATATTTGCAGCTTTGGTCCTTTTTAAATTTGAAAAGCATTTTAAACCTTAGGAAAGGACTTGGAACACTAGTAGTCCACTGTTTTACAGAAAAACACAGTTTTGGCCCTTCAAAACATAAAATTTCACATTTTGGGACCTATTGGGCCGAAAATGTCATTTTTAGCCCATTAAGCTTGAAATTTATGTTTCTAATCCTCCAAAAAGTATATTTTCAGAAAATACATTATGGAAACTGTTTTGACTCATCTCACCCATCAGAATTCGAAATATTTCATTTTGGGCCCTTCAACTTTATATTTTTAACATTTTATGTCCAAAAATTAGGTTTTTAGCCCAAAGAAAGTGTTATTAAGCCATTTAGCTATTTTTCTTGGAACACTTTGTATGTAGAAATACATTTGATGCTAGTATCATTTAACATAAAGTATATCTCGATTTTTAGGGGTTTATGGCTAGATCCAACATTATAAACACACAAAAAAACACATATAAGCATAGAAATCATACAAGGCATACAAAACACATATAGATCTACATTTTCACTTGTATTCCCCCCCCCCCCTAAAACTTATAAAACAGAAAAATAGGGAGTATGAAGCTCACCTTTGCTTTGATGTTTCGGTTTTGAAGAAGAGATGAGGAGATTTTTAGTCCTAGCAACACCTTGAAGTAGTTTTCGAGCTTATGAAGTTTCTAAGGTGTGATCATGGAATAAAGTTATGTAAGAAGAAGTTCTTAATGTTACATTGAAAGGAGATGTTGGTGTTTGATAATAACTTACCAAATATGGAGATTGTGGTGAAAAATCCTCTTGTAAACACCCTAAATCTCGAAATTTTTGGGGGATGATGGAAGAGTTGTTCTTGAGAGCTTGAGAGAATTTTTTGGAAGTGAAGTGTGTGTGTGTGTGTGTGTGTGTGTGTGTGCTCTTCTCGGCCAA